CATCACTACTTCTCTTCTTTTACATCCAGAGGACTCGCCCTCTGGTGGCCATTAGGGAGAATGCAGCTTTAAACGTGCTCAGCAAACATTCATATTTTTGGTCAAAGAAATAAGGACACAGTTCCCCTCTAATTAAATTGACTTTGAATGGATTTTCAATCTAAAAGTACTTGACGGTGGGCAGGTTAGACTAAAGATAGATAGATAAATAAATAAATAAATAAATAAATAAAGCGTGGTCTTTACTGGAAACAAAGAAATAATTACACTGCAAGTAAATCTCAAACAGTTTAGTTCCAGGCCATATTATATAGTCTTACCATATTTTAAAGTTAATTTATTGTGGGGATACTTTAAGCATCTCTGAATATTAGGGACCTGCCCCCCAAACATATATTCCAAACACTGCTGTGTACCTTTGGGAATGACTTCACGGAGCTCCATTTCTGTCTTCAGCTCTCTCACAGGCTTGCTTCTCTTCTCATCACAGGAAGTTGGTCTAGATTTTAAATAAGCACACCTGAATTTAGTATGATGTACATGATTACCACGAGATGTTCTGAGTGACTTTTGAACACTCACAGGAGGTCCGGAGCAGTTGTGGGATCATCTGCTTGCTTCTGAGGCGCCACACTAGCGTCCTCAGAGGGTTTCGGCCGTTCGCTCACAGGCCTCACAGTCTGGATAAACTTCTCCGTCTCGTCTTTTCCATTTTCTTTCTTCACATCAGTTTTTGTCTTTTTCATCACCTCCAGCTCTTCTTGAGGTTTTCCAGCTTCCTTCTCTGTCTTCTTCTCTGTTTCTTCTTCCTTCGTGTCCTCGCGTCCTTGCCAGTCTGTTCTATTACTTCCTTTCCTTGTCCTCCCATCTTCTGCTGCGCTCTTCTTCCTTTTCAGCTCGCCTTTTTTTTCCTTTTCAGTCTGGAACCAGAAATAATCTGTGGTGCATTCATCTGTTTGCTGACCATGAAAGAAGCTGTCATCCCAAAGTTTTTTGCCCTTCCTCTTCCAGCTGCGGATCACAGAGTTAGGGATGTAGCCATCGGGAGCGATGGGCCAGGTTAGAGGCTCTGTGTCTGCAACAGCAGCTTCAACTCTGACCTGAGGCCTCTCCATCAGGCTCCAGGTTTAGCCAGCAGCTAGCTGGAACTACACGATGCTGCAATTTATTTATTTATTTGAAAAGAAAAAGAACATCTTAATTTCATGATTACGTGATGACGTAACATCTGAGGACAAAGTAACCGAAATGGGAAACTGAGGCCCTGTCAGCTGGAGATAAATGTTAGTATCATGTCAGTAAAACAAAGGACAGTCGTTCATTATGTTTAGACCAAGCAGGTCTTTACCTTCCTGTGCTCAGGCTAAACTAACCAGCCTGCAGCCTCACAGCTGCTCTACAAATCTATCCTCATGTCCCACTAACAAAAAGACGCTTCCAGTAATGCTGACCTATGGCTGAATAAAACAGACAGTGCCTGTGGCCTATGTTTGAATCATCCATTACATCTGATAAACACACGAGGTCAAACTCACCAGAAAATGCTCCCTGTGAGGAATATCTGATGTCAGGCTGCTGACGCCCCTCACTGCTGCTGTTATATCCAGTTTGAACACAAACACGTGATGGAACTAACAGCAGTGTTCAAAACCACCATGATGCATCCTTTAAACGGGACCTACTCTCCTCCCCACCCTTCATATCACAGTGGTGGATGCTCCTGATAGTCATGGCCTCGTCTGAAGCAGTGACACAGCATGAGTCCAAATCTCAGGCTGTACACGCTGCGAGAGAGCCGAGGCGCTACAGCCTCCCCACCAAGGGAAAACCACCAAAGAGCGGGTGATGGGAACCAGCTCTGTGACCAATCACACTCAGCTGACGCCTTTAAAGTTTGTTGTGTCCAGACAAAGTCAGTCTGTGATTGGATGAATGTGTCTGTTGGCAGTTACATGAATATTAACTGTTTAATATGCACAGAAACACAGTTATTGACAAACCCACCCCAGCCTGAGTGTGACTGCAGACAGCGCTGACTGTGAGCACAAGCCCCGCCCAGTCTCTGCTAGTATATTCTGTTGGTGAGGGGCAGCCAATCAGAGGTTAGCTTAAAGACAGCAGAGCTTTTTGTAGACAGCCGGGTGAACGGAGAGACTGCAGGCCTAGAATAACACAAA